GAGCTACGTTTGCGAGATTAACGGGAGAGAGATCGCCGGCCCGGCCAGCCGTAAGCGACGATTCTCTGCTAGCCGACCACCGAGGCAAAGGTCCACACTTGCGGTCGTCCGGATCGGTGACTACCGATCCGGTGCCTCTATTGATTCGGTGGCCTCGAGGTGGCAGGCCGCGGTCCCGACTAATATCGCCGGCCACAGGAAACCACGCTGCGCTTCGTTCTCCGGAATCCTTCTAACTCGATTAGGAGAAATCACCTCGTCCACGTGACAGCGTCCCGGTCTCGCATTTTTTGAAATCCTGACACGGATCTGTCCTATCTCGTGCGACTTTTGTAACGTTTTTATCAGGCTCCCGACAATGTTCGTGAATTTTTAAACGACGAGAGAAAATCAACGTTCGAGATACGACAGAGCAGATGTAGGTATTACTGCGGTTTCTAAATGAAGAGGAGTACTTTGACAGAGAAAATAAGATCTTTTACGCTAATAAATTGACAACTTGAGCTATGCACGTTATTCTTTAACTTGAATATTTACTTTTCTGAAAAGATTGGAACTCTGAGATTTATAACATATTATCTATGTTATGATCGCTTCTCATTGGACGGTGTTAATAACTCGTGGACGATACCTCGGAGAAAATGTTTGTAAAGGAAAAAGTTACTTGGAATGACCTCAACAACCCTTTATTTCCCGGAATTTTGGGACACTCTCATTCAAAACTGCACTGAGCTCGTTGAGGCACGCAGTTTGTCAATTTCGAAATTTTAGCAGCCACTCACCGCAGTAATACACACATGTAGAAAGAACTATAAAATTATGTGCCAATTACTGTGGCTAGTGGGGACGATTTCCAGAAAGATGATGATGCCAGTGTACGTCGATTTTTGTAACAAAGTAACGCTTACTTTATGTAAAAATAACGCTAAAATGAGAGTAGTTTATTATTAATCAGCAAAACATAAATACCCTACGAATCAGCTGCCATTACGAAACTGCGATTTCTGTCGCTTGCATGCCATAAATGATCAACATTAAACACACAAAAAATTATGAGATTCATCGTTGAAAGATTACGCACTAGAAAACGTTACATTTGATTACTTTAATAAAATACCGCAGTATTTGGAGCGTCCGCAGTGAATGCCCACACTTGCCCTATTGGATCACGTCACTGAGAGACGATTTTTCGTTAATAACTCGTGAACGAAGCCGCGGATTGCATTTTCGCTAAGGAAGACATTTATTATTAATTACCAAAATATGAATGCCCTACGAATCAGCTGCTATTAGAAAACTGCGATTTCTGTCACTCGCATGTCATAAAACACGCTAGGAAACGTTGCATTTTATTACTTCTATAAAGTCACGTAATTTATGATGTCGATATGCGTATCACAGGAGCGTCCTTAGCAAAATCGAAGCAGCGATAATTGTCGAGAAGTTCGAGCCGAACGGTCGGTGGAATTAGCGCTAGAATTAGAGCAAGAAGGTCAGCGGAACACTCGTTAACGCGAGCTCGGAATAAAAATTCTGAGACAATGGTGGCCGGCGATCGTGGAATGCATTGTTCAGCATAGCCTCGTAATGGCACAAAGGGGTAATAATTCTTGATTGGTGCAACAATCCCGCGCTGTTGCCGCGGACGACCTTTGTGCTGGCCCGATCAGCATTCTGAATGGCCAATTTCGATTCGGTGCAGCGGCTCGGCAATTTACACGCTGCAACTTCGCAAAAATATCGGAACGGTTATTGGCTGGCGAAACGTTCCGCCGAATTTCCGCGGCTCGATTAAACCGAAGATTGTTAAAATACGATAACCGTGAATCGCGCGATATCAGGTTCCCGCGAATGCGTCACACGCGAAATTCAATTCGATGAAAATTCTGGCGCGCGACCGGGGCGGCCGTTCGACAAACCATCCGCATAATGTTCGCATGATCTCGCGAAAGGAAGGAATGCTCGGAGACGTCGTCGATGAACGAACGTAACTGAAAATTACGAGGAGGAAAACGTTGAAAAACATCGGCGAGCGGCTGCTTCGATTCTCCGGGTAGTACGAAAGCCACGTGTGACAAAGTGCAATCGTTATTGATTTATCAGCATTCAGCCGTATAAGATGCAGTAGTTTCGGAAATAAAGAAAAATTGTTCGTTTCATCGAACAGCCTCGTAAGATAGAATCTGAATAAACAATGTTTCGTGCAAGAGATTACGCGCTCTTTTTAGGTGGAATAAGGAGCCATTAAGAAAATGCATTACAAAGTGCTCAATTATTTTAAACAGCTCCTCGTAATATCGTCGTAGCGGGAGAGAAACGAGCGACATTTCAGGGCGCAACAAATCGCAGGTTTCCGTGATAGAAAGAAAAAAAGTGCTCGGGGACATCTTCAATGAACGTTGGCAACGGTAACGAGGGAAACAGATTGCGTTCTTGCTTGAGAGGATCTAGATGTTACGGCTGCTGGCGGTTCTATAAATTTCCTCGCCGCGTGTTTTTACGGGCGTTATAATATTTAATTACAAATGGAGGGTCGGCGAAGGGCAGGCATAAAAACGGCGTTCCTTGATTTTACAATATCAGCTGGCGCAGGCCCCAGTGGCGGTAATCTCCGGTTCGACATCGATACGGCAACATTTCATTTTTACGGGCGCTCAACGCTTACGGAAACACCGTAACCATGCTTGCATTCCTCCCATAGGCATCGGGAACGAACGGAAATGTCGGGCTGCGAGCGTTGTCCCCGGAGAAATTACATCGAGTGCCTATCTCTCTCCAACGTTACAACATTTCCGTGGAAAGTCTGCAACTCGGACGCAATTCCCCGCCAGCCGGCCGGCAGCCGCTGTCAATACGAGCATTAAAAAAACAGCGGCGTTTTAACGGGAAGCTCTCGGAATCGTCGCAAGCTCGTGATAATTTTGTTAAAAACCTTTCCTCGGCTGGATCAACGGAAACCGCGTTCGAACGGGCGAGATATTAATAACATTACCGCTCGTTTCATCACCGCCGGTTTAATTTGAATTTTACTCAGACACGCACGCGGGGCAAACGCAACGCGGGATTATTGAAACCGAAATTGTAAGGCAGTGGCCGCATTAAAACAAACGCTCTCTGCGATACGTTCAAACATTTCAGCTCCCTTCGTTCTAGATATTTGAATCGCGTTTAATCAAAGAGCCGCGCGCAGAGACGAAAATCTGAACGAAGATGAAAAGTTCCGAAATGGCACCTGTTTATGAATTCTTGACGGTTCAATCGCTCGGCAGAAATTCGCGTAATTTTCTGTTCGTTCGAAGCTTACTTTGTCGAAGATATGGAAAAATTGTCAGTCCGAAAGAGAGTAATTTTTCAACAAGTTCTGATTTTTACAGAGAGACTCTCTCAATAACGATAATTATTTTAAAAAATCGAACCAAATTATACCCGAATCATTTTGAAACCTCAAATAAATCCTTAAACTCTTGAACGACTTTTTTTTCTAAACACCCTGTACATTTGTCCAAGTCCGTATATCGTCGCAACGATGTTTCCTTTGACGTTGGACGCGGATTTTCATTGAGATTCTGCACGCAGAGCAATGAGGAATTTGCGGGGGCGGTGCAGCAGCTTCGTCGAACGTTTGCAACTTTAATATCCGATGGCACGAAATAGCGAGAATTTCCGTCGACGGAGATATTCGAAAAATGGTTGATCCCTTAATTGTTTCTGCGGAGAAACGACCGAAAGCGAAAGATCCGTAGTTTCGCGTGCTCGCGGTGCTCGCCGCGATCCGCTCGGCGCGCATTCCGACGGATCAAAGTGCTCCCGTTAAATTGCCATCGTGACGAAATTCGAGCGATGGCAAAGGGAGGCCTCTCCGACAAATTGGAACGTCACGGTCCCGGAACGCTGCCGGACTGGTGCGTGAATTCTACATTCCGGAAACCGCTCCAACAAGGGTAAGCACTTAACAGCGCTGACGTCACGACAACGCCACCCTCTAATCGTTACGCGCGACGAGGGTTGCATTGTAACCGAGGAAATGTACCGTCAAACGCGCCGTGCGAGTTTCCGACGGTGATTTTTCGCGTCGGGGCAAAATTCTCTGTCGCCCCGCCATCGAGGAAAACGTTCATATCCGCGCGCGCGATCGAGCCTTTGTGATTTTTTCGGGGGAAAATTGCGCGGATTAATGTCCCCGCCCTCCACACACACACGCGCGCGCGCGCATACGACCGGCTAATAATTTACTCGTGATCTTGCAGCCCTTTGTAGTAACAGGCGAACGGTTCCCTTTGTGACCAGCCCCGGCCCATTTGTCGCTTTAATCGAAACAAAAGCGGGCCCCGCCCGGAGTCTCGCGCGATACTTTCCTCGTTTTTCGCGGCTTAACCGGCAATTATTACGTTAATTGCGATTTAAATTTCCAACGAGTGGGGCTGAAACACTGAAACGGGGACAATGTTATCCGAGCAATTTCCGCGCGGAAGCCACCGGCCATTTGTCCTGGCCGGCCGGCCGAGAGACAGGATTAAATGGGAAAAGGATTTTCTCCGGCGAAAAAAATATTCCCTTGGATTAAAAATTTGTGTCCGCGCGGCAGAAGGCGCGGCCGATAAAGCCCCGCGCTGTCGGATGACAGCCGGCGTTCCCAAATTTTTCGGCGGGTCGCGTCCGGTCAGGGGAGACAGGGAGGGAAGCGCGGGGGGAGACCTCGGTTGATGCAACCGTTTGCGGAATGGGAAGACACGAGGCGCGACCGTTCTGAAAAGAACTGTGTCACGCGAGAACAGACGCGCCTCGTCGGTAGGAAGTCTGCCACTACGGAGAAATATAATTACTCGGCTAAGTCCTCGCGACAGGTTGGCCCGTTGACTTTTCCCAGCCTCCTTAATGATCGTCAAGGCGCGACGACGAGTGTGGCGACACACTGCCGCGCTAATTTATCATGTACGAACTGTGTCACGTTTGTAGCCAGCCTTTAAATCCACTCGTCGCAATGGAGTTGTCCCTTTGAGCACGCTCATTCTCGGTTTTATCATTAAGCGAACAGTGTACACGATAATTCGAAGCCAGAGAGATGGTACGCATTATCTTGATAGCTAGAAGCTTTCCAACTCTTCTGGTGGGCGGGGACCAGCGATCGTTGGGAGGAGCCAATCCTCTTGATGGGAGTGCCGTTCTGTGACGCTTTTCGCGAGAGAACACTCGTTGAACGCAAGAACCGTGTATGCAAGCCAGAAAAATTCACTGAACTCTCATCAGCAAAATTGAGGACAAACTAGAAGTGGCAGGGGACATAGATCAATGGGAGGGATCAAAGTTTGCAGCGAGGTAGACCCCACCCATTGACCTTGATTGGAGAACAATCGCCTAGCATAAAGAACCCTGGCGAGCCATATGTTACAAAGAAAAATGCTCTGACCTTTCGTCAAGGGTGTCGTAGGGCTGATGTAGGTCATCTTGTGAGTGGAGGCATCGATCAGTGGGAGAAGTCAATTCTCTTGATGGGAGTGGCCTTCTGTACGGATTTTTTTAAATGAAAGGACAATAATCAAACAGGGAGAACATTTGTGTTCGGTACGCCAGAAAAATTCTTTGAAAGCTCACCAGTAAAATTTCGGACGAGCTGGAAATGGGAGGAGACGCAGATCAATGGGAGGCGTCAAAGTCTGCTGTTGGTTAGGTCCCACCCACTGACCCCGATGAGAGAACAATCACCGAGCACAAAGAACCCTGTCGAGCCACATTTTACAAAGAAAAATGGTTTGACCTGTCGTCAAGGGCCTCGAAGGGCTGACGCGAGTCTTATTGTGAGCGGCGACATCGGTCAGTGGGAGGGGCCGAACTTCGCGACGGAGTTGGCCCCGCCCATTTGCATTATTTCTTCCCTTTCTTCCTCGAAGCTTTGCTGGCCGCCTGCGAACGGGGCGCTTTTGGTTCCGGGAACGGTTCGTGGGTGGGTTTCGATTTGGGTTGCGGGAAACCTGGACGGGAGATTAAAACGTAACTGGAACGGCGTCCGGCGGACACTGAGTGCCGCGATTACGCCAGGACACCGATAAGAAGACACGGGATAATCTATCCGGCCGGGTTACGCGAAGGCTGACAGTAAAATTCGTTTACGAGAGCGGTTGATCTCGCGCGACCGAGATTAAGCTCGTTACACGAGCTTCATAAACCGGCCGCGGACCATCCCCCCTCCACCCGCCGGGACACGGATACACGTATACATTATGCTTAATTAAGGGGCCATTCCACACAGTCGGATCAAATTTTAATAATCCAACGTCTGGAGGCGGCGGATAGTGTGCGAGGGAATCGTAAGCTGATATTTCGAGCGAGTTACGCGGCACTCCGACGCGCCAGTTTTCGCATAAATTTTCGTCCCGATGAAGCAAACACCGGCCGGAGATATTAATAATCTGGCGGGTGGTTCTGGCAACATTTACCTTGAATTACAACGGCGAATGATTAAGAGGTTTTAAATAGTTTATGAAATACCGAGTGACTAGCTCAAACTTTCCTCCTCGGCTTGTTCATTATGTAGTCGTCCGCTGGAGGAGGACGGGTCAGCGGGCGTGGCCAGATTGCAGTCAAGAAGACGGCTCCTCCCATTAAAAAATCATTTGCTGTCCGAAGTATCGAAAATAGTTCGGACAGAGTTCAGCGAAAACTTTGAACGGCGAGCTTGCGAGTTTAAATCGTGGGCGTGGCTACTCCAGAAAGAAATAATAGCTCCACCTACCGGCTTTCAAGCGTTACAAGCACGCTCCCGAAATGCTCCGAACAAATAATCCGTTAATTCAAGGTTCCGTAATAGAGCTCCGAGAGAGCAGAAATGGCCGGTTCGGTGAGACGCTTCTTCCCGGATCTTTTCGTTAAGACGAAGGACGGGCCATTGTGTAATGTAATGGAAACGCGATAAAGCAAACGGCCGTCTTAAAATACGGTCGCGGATTCGGAATGAGAGAGAGAGAGAGAGAGAGAGAGAGAGAGAGAAAGAGAGAGAAGAAGCTCGCCGTGGCGGGCACGGTTCTCAGATACGTCGCATCGCGATATTCGTGTTCAAACGGCTGTGAAAATGTCGAGGAGAACAGGCGGCGAGGTCTATGCGTCGCCGCAGTGAAGTGTGCATCTCGTATGCACGTAAACTGTACGTTATCCTTACATATCTCAACGTGACAGCCCTGCGAAGCGATTCCCCGCCGACGTTGCCACCGAGTACGTCTCTACCTTTTATCCCAGCTGGGCTTCGAACGTCCCACCGCGTTTCGAGCCATTCGGAAGCAACGACAACGACAAAGACAAACACGCGAAAACCGTCCCATTCGTCGAATCAAAGAAAAATTCCTCCGACAACTGGAACCAACGAAACAGATACACACGATTTCTCCGCGGCTGCAAAGGAAACCTCGGTGCGCTACGATGAACCAAGAGTATTGACTCTATCCGCGTACGCGCGGGTATGTTGAACCTTCCACACATTCGTCGCTTTGTGCACGCGATTAATCAACGCTTTATCTGCCACGCCGAGCGGATAAAAAATTTCATAGAATTCGAGTGGTTTATTCGATCGAATTAATCTCGAGAAGTTAAGTTGTATCACGAAAACTATGTATATAATTACAGTTATTTCATTGAATCACGTTAAAATCGCAAAGGCGAAGTTGCATTGCATCGATCGCAATTTTAAACGTTCTTACAACTTCTTTGGAACATGTTTGCAACATAGAACAAATTAAGAATGATTAAGCGGAATCTCTAATTATATAATTTGCCAATCACATGGAATTTCAAGCGTCACCGATTTTCGTCTGACTTTATAGAAAACGCGACCACTGCGCGGCGTTCCGCGATCGACGAGGAAACGGGATCCGCCATTCTGGGTTCGTCAGTCGGATCAAAGGGTTCGATATTTTAATTAAAGGAGAAAGAGGGAAATCGTGGTATTGTCGGCAGTCGACGGAAGAACCCAGGGAGTCCCGTTTCACAGAGGGGCAAACAATTAATCGAACGGCATCGAGCCCTGCGAGGCTCGCCGCGACAGTTGGCAGCGGGACCATGTCACGACCCTTACTGAATTAACGATGTAAGTAAACGCAATTAAAACCTGGTAAACACGGGACTCGATCTCCGGCCGGCCGGCCCCGAAGAGAGTTTGTGTACCTTCTTCGTGGTGGCGATGTGCTCGGCTGACCAATTATTCTTCGACTCGGTGGCCAACGACCGGACCGTGCGCCACCGTTCCCAGGACTTCTCCTGTGTTTTATCACCAAAGGAAAAACCGTCCCGTGTGTCCGGCCGGGCAGTGCATTAACCGGGAATTGCGACAGCCGGAAAAATTGGCGGCGCTGTAAAAACGATCGGCCACTTCGGGCTGATTGCGGCGTTTCGATTGCTTGCACGCTATTCACCGAAGTGAATTCGGCTGGACGCTGCCGGCCGATGCATTTCGCGTGAAATAGGGCTGTTTCGACGCTGGAGCAGCTCCGGCCACGCCCACCGCGTCTATCCCAAAGCTTTAACCGCGCTTACGTTCAACCTGTCACGGATTTTAAGCCACGCCCATGACGGATATCTGATCCACGGTTCGGCCACGCCCATGTAAAGTCTGCCGATGCCTCGACCACGCCCACGAGAGCACTGTTTACGCTCCGACCACGCCCACGCGAAGCCCGAGCTGGGCGCGAGCCCCGCCCGCGTAATTGTAAATTAGAAAATGAAGTTCTGAAACCGGGATAGCAGTTCGAGCTTATCAATTTGCAGTTTGAGTGAGTTTGAAACGTTTTAAGAGGAATCACGGAAAATAGACTATTTGGCAGGATGAGATTGATGCTGCCGAATGAGATCGCGTTTTAACGAGCCGCACGTTCGTCGCGCGGAAGTAAAATCAGATTATTAACGCGAATCCCAGTCGCGTATTAAATACGTCGGCGGACTGGAATCTGGTTGAATGAAATAAACAGTAGACACAATGACGGGAGCTTGTTCCGCGCCGGCGAGCAGAAGGGAAACTGGTAATAAAGCTTTATTTCTGGGGGAACGAGTTTATGAAGAAATAACAAGGAAAGAGAGAGAGAGAGAAACAAACGCAAATGAAGTTACTATCCCCCCTCCACCTGCCGTCGGACGGGCCGTTCCGTACTCTGTAGAATGAGAAATACTGACAGCGGAACAGGCGTTTTTTCTAAAAATTAAAGAGGCCATTGCTCTCCTTCGTTGCTCGGAGAAACTGAGAGACTCTTCGTCGCCTCCTCAGGCAATCTAACGTAATTATATCTACACAATAAGCATTTCGGATTACGCGTCTATGGTGCACGGTGATTTGTTCCTTACATTTCGTTTCGCAAGCCCCGCTGAATAATATTTAGCTGAATGGAGATAATTAAATGGAGAGGGAAGCTTTGTTAAAAAAGACAGACGCACAAAAAGCACGAAGTTATTATTTCGTACGAATAAATTTGTGCTTTTGAATACGCAGCACAAGTTATATTTTCGTTCTTTACGCGTCTATATTTTTTAGCATTGAAACGTTCAGCTCGTACCGTTTCGATTTTTGGGGCTAAACCGAGGTCTTCTTATAACTATCTCCTGGTCACGACGCATCGTTAAAATTTTACAGAAAGTGTCTTCTTTTTATGATTTATCGAACGACACATCGACCCTGGTCACGACGCATCGTTAAAATTTTACAGAAAGTGTCTTCCTTTTATGATTTATCGAACGGCACATCGGTCGTTTAAATCGAAGAGCAGTTTCGATACTCCGAACCGCCTAATACAGTAATTTCTCCCCAATTCGGGCTCGAATTGCGCACAAAAATGGAGAATTTGGGAAGCGGAGATACGATTATACGAGCCTCGCGGCTCGTTTTAATAGTTGTTGACAATCGGTAACTACGAAAACGAGTCGTCAGGCTCGAATTAGGGAAAATTTACTGCGCCCTTTGGTCTGGCTGGAAATTCTACATTGATTATAACATTCCGTCGGGCCCAGTGAACATAATCTATCGGACAGATTGCCTCGCGAGACTCACCCTTTCGCAAAATATTCGTCTGTCTGGCGACGTCTCTGAGCTCGGAGCCGTGCAACGTCGGCGTTTTCACGAACAGGTATCGAAACGCCGCCCCGAGATTGTCGCTGCGCCTCTTAAAGACCAACAGAGCACACTGGAACGCGATAAATACGATTACCTTAGGCGACGAGCCAATATTTGCTCGCGTATGAAGCGGTTTCAGTGGGAGCGACTTTCGGTGTTTATTCACCCCGATGTCTCGAATGAAATTCATTTTACAGCGCTCTATCGAGTTACGGGGGATTCCCTGTTTGCTCGCGAGCCGGCTCGTACCTGTAGCAGCTCGATGTCGGACAGCACGACCGACGACAGCTCCTCCTCCCCCACATCGGAACCGTAGTCGCTTATACTTCCGATCACAACCTCGCCGGACGCTCTTCTGTGTTGCATGTTCCTAAAGCTCATGCTGTCCGCTCGCGTACTGACAATGATCGCTTCGTCCATCACAACGTAGATTCTTTACAAGGACATGGATCGTATTATTCGGTCGTTTGATCCATGAACGACGCGCTGCGCTCATAACGAAATTGTTATATCCAGTCTAATCGACGATTATTAACGTCGAGGTACTTCGCAGACCTCTGCAGAGCGTAACGAATTTTTTTGACGAATGAAACCGAAGCGAGCGTAAAGAGCAATGTCTCCCCTTTATAACGAGCCTAAACGCGATGATCTACGATTTTTTTGCGCCATTATATGACCATTTAAATCGAAAGGGTTCGCCAAGACGGGGCTCAAAAATTCAGCGTAAAGCGACGAAATTCGAAGGGCCGTAACTTTGTTGTACATGATCGTATTGCGATGAGTCTTAGCTCATTCAAAAGCGCAAAGTCTAAACTTTCTAACCACATCAGTTTCGGTAAATTAGATTTGCGATGCCATTGATTATTGCGCATTTGCAACAAAGAGTGATTTTCGTAAAAGATTGAACTTTGCGGACCTGTAGGAGGCTTAAAGAATTTTTTCCTCTTACGAAACCTGAATAGATTTACAGAATGAACTCTGCCCTTTCCAACGCGCCCAAAAACGTCGCTCCACGATTTTTCGGTGCCATTATATGACCGTTCGAATGGAAAGTGTGTCGGCAGGAGTTGAATTTCGAATTTCAAAAACTCCGTGAGGAACGACGAAATTCAAAGGCTCGTAACTTTGTTGCACATGATCGTATCGCGATGAGCCTTAGCTTATTTAAAAGCGCAAACTCTGAACTTTCTAATCCTGTTTGATTCCTTAAAGTAGATTCGCGATGCCATTGATTATTGCGCATTTGCTACAAAGAATGATTTTCGTAAAAGATTGAACTTTGCGGATCTGTAGGAGGCTTAAAGAATTTTTTCCTCTTACGAAACCTGAATAGATTTACAGAATGAACTCTGCCCTTTCCAACGCGCCCAAAAACGTCGCTCCACGATTTTTCGGTGCCATTATATGACCGTTCGAATGGAAAGTGTGTCGGCAGGAGTTGAATTTCGAATTTCAAAAACTCCG